GTAAATGAAAGGGCAATAATTAAAAATATCTGTACTGAACAGCTCTCAGAAATTGGTTTATAAAAGCATGAAACAACATTGAATATGGTTGTTAAGTATGCTCAAAGAAACATAAGGAAAGGGAAACAGCGCTACCTGCAGATGGTCATAGTTACAGAGATGGAAAGCAAACTTCAGCCTGAGTCTATTTATGCATACATATATGCATAGAAAGTCCTTGCTTGTGTTTGCTCTTGATGGGTCCACCGTTTTGGTGGTGAACATCTTCTGAGCATAGCGCAAAAAGGCGAGCAGTTATGAGCCAGAGATTGTAGGTGACCTCTATTACCGTCCTCGTATTAGATAAGAAAAAAATGAGATTGGCAAACTACTGGTGTGTGGTGTTAGTCACCTAATTGCGCACTACCTATAGATGGAAGTATCATATCTGCTTGTTTGCTGACTGTCCAATGACTAGATATATACCGCACTGATGATTGCTATTGAGCATTAAGCAACCTTGTATGGGGTTAGTAATGATCATAGAGACGGAACGCAATTAGATCATATTTAGCCTGCGTGTAACTTTTACATAAGTTAAAACTGGTAACTGAGTAACGGGGTGACAATAGTGGTAGACGACACTTGTAAGGGTTGGTAGCACCGCGTTTGGCGATCCACTTTTAGGTGCCAGTTTCACCAATTCAATATAAAACGTGTTATTCAAGAAATCCAGATAAGAGTGCCTCCTTTTCGGCTAAAAAATATACAAAGCTCTCTTTTGATATATCTATACCTAATGTGAACCCAAGTGCTTTCGGATAATCGAAATTTCGTATAAAACGGAAATAAATATTTAGACTAATGCTTTTATTGAAAAAAGTAAATGCTTGTGTTAAGTGAGTATATATGTATCTATATACAGTTACGTAAAAAAAAACATGTGGATAGAAACATACATATTTACGAGTATTTAGTATCAAAGGAAGTAATTTTTAACTGTACACGTTTTGCATTGTTCCTATTTTGGCAGCAATATCCCTCCAACGTTTGATAAGTAGCACATCAGCTGCTGTCGCGAATGATTGTAAAACCAGTCCTTATATAAGGCGGCATCCATCCAGGCATTTTTTTGAATTCTGTACCACACTGGAAGAGTGTTGGGACAAACGTGTTTAAATGCTCTTGGATTAGCTTATTTTCCGATTAAACAAAGCAAGTTTGTGTGTACCGGAAGCATTGCTACAAGCAAGGATAGTCACACGTTCTTCACTGCGCTTCTAACCAGGAGGTCCAGATTCTTGTTTTGAAGCTAAGCTTTTCGCCGGTAACATTTTATAGTTTCGTCGCAGTTGTAAATTTGTTCTGGAATTTAAGCCATACTGCTTCATTAATTCTTTAAACTGTTCTCCAAATTTTAATGCAGCGGACTTATCAACAAATAACTTTTCTCTGCAAACTTTTAATTCTCGTATACCGTGTCGTTTTTTCCATCTATGCAGCCAACCATCACTAAAGTTATCAGGCACCTCAATAACTCGCAATTCGTCACTTAAGTTGACTCCCTTTGCTTTAGAATTGGTCTGGAAATTGGTATTCTACGTTCTCGATTCTGTGTAAACCACAGACATAAAGCATAATCCACTTTTTGATATTCCCCCTTTTTCATAGTTTTCCGTGACGGCTGCGATGATGTCATAACACTAGACCACTTTTCAATTTTCACTCGTTGTTTTTTCCATTGTGAAATGGTACTCACGCCCACACCCAAATCACTTGCCACTTTTTTAAGCAAATCACATCTATCTAAACATCTGATTGCCTCAAGTTTCTGTTCTATGGTAAACAACGCGTTTACGTTTATTTCTATGCTGCTCCATCTTAGCCATGAAACAAGCATACACGCACACATACCAGTGAATTCCGCAAACGCGCTTGGGTATCACCGGCAGCGAATCTAATGACGCAAACGCCTAAAAGGGAATTACCGGTGGCAATTTCGGATCATGCGCCGATTTCCCGAACAAAAACGGAGAAATTATTGTATGCGATCTGTTTTGGATAAAGCGTACCATATTTTGTACCCCATAGAGTAAAGCGATCAGAGTGGCTAGTCTTTTCGACGACGAGTTTAAATGGCAGAAGCCTAGCGAGTTGGTCGAGCAGACCGATAGAAGTGTTGGGAGGAACAAATACTGTTCGCATATTGGTAGTGAAACTCCAAATTCAACAATCTGCTTATCGTGGATTGAGAAAGTGTTCCAATTTGTCGGATTGTTCTCCTCTGAATCGTATCAGTATGGACCAACGAATTCGAATATATAAGACGGAGCCAATTGCGTAGTTTTAGTGCAGACTTTTGACACATTTGACTACCATTGCCTACCCAAGTGACTACGTTGTATCAACATAATAATAATTCTTAGCGGTGGAAGATCTATCTTCATTAGGCTTGTGCCACTCTTCGCAAATTACGCAAGAAGTATCATGTCCTAAAATCATCTAACACCAGAATTATCTGCAAACACTCGCACTTTTAAAAAATAGCACTCAACATACGAATTCAATGACAGAACTATCAAAAAATTAACTTATATCAACTCCACTTGTAGGATGCACTATGATCCTTAATAAAGACTGATATTTTGGAGACAAACAAATCGTAGGTTTGCTCCTTCAACCTAGTCTGAATATGTTGGTATGACAGTATAGTCGATGTAGGTAGAAATTGTATGTATGAAAAATTCAGGAAAGCTAAAATAAAACTAACTTTTCTTTGAAATAACGTCTTTATTTAGGTAGAGAACATTCTCAATGTGCATTCACTGGGGTACCATCAAAATGCTCATCCTGAAAGTATGAGTATGAGTGTCTATCTTCCACTTAAGGTCGTATGCCCCTTTTTTCGAATGCCTGTTTGGAGCTGTATTCTAAATCATTTTCATCTAATTATTTCATGGTGTGTATAAAGATTACTGAACAACAATTTTTTGTCAAAAAACGCATTTTATTCTGCATTTCTTTTGTCGTAACTTAACTAATATTAGTACAGTTCTGAAATTGTATGTAGAACTAAGAAAGTGGTTACTTTTATTCTTAACACTTTTTCTCTTCGAAAAAGCTTTGACATTTTTGAAACCTCATTTTCAGCAAATTGAGCTATCTAGAAAACCAAATTTTTTTTTGAAAATTATGTAATAGAAAAGATATCACTCGCACAATTCTTCCATTGAAAAGGGATATTCATATTCAATTTTAGAGCTGTACTATTATTTGATAAGTTAAGATTGACGAAAAAATTCATTATAATGCATTTTTTGACAAAAAAGAAAGTGATCAGTCATCTCTATAGACACCATGAAACAATCAGACGCAAAGTATTGAGAATCCTCCTCCAGAAAGGCTGTTGAAAAAAAGGGTCATGCCACGTTAAGGTACGTGTTTAAATGGAAACGCACCTGCCCTAACACATGTGTAGCAACATCTTGTACACCGTTCGAAGGAAGAAAAAGTGCACAACGGTTTCTTCAAATGTTATTCTAATCATAGACGAAAATACTCATGATTTGCGAAATAACTGTAAAGTCTGGTTTTATGGATGCAAGTTGTTGAAGAGGGTATTTAAAACATGGACGCATAAAATGGGTTCACCAATTTTTGTGCGAAAACTTTTTTTTCGACAACAAAGAATGAGAAAACGTGTTTTTTTGGGATTCAAGCAAAAGTGTTCGCAGGAACGAAAAAACTCTTCATATGATATTTTTAGGTTTTTATGAGACCTACAAAATGAGACTACACGTAAAAAGATCCGACTAGTAGTAAAAAAGTTATGGCCGAAAACGCAGCTACTTGAAATTTTTCAAATCCGCAACAAAATTGGAGTCGATTGGTCAAGAAGTTTTTGAGAATTTCGTATTGTTTATCCCAAAAGACCTGTCTTCCGACCATCACTGTTTACTGGGCAATATACAGCGTTCGTTCAAAGGCCATCTTATAGCAAAATACACGAGTTAATCTTGCCGACATGAATCACAAACCATTCCGAAAGATAATTGTTATTTTTATGCCAAAAACGAGTGGTTACGTTTTTTTTTCTACACAAACTCAAACATTTCGTGGTTTACTGGATCTTTATACCACTATACTTGACACTGAGAAATGTCAAGCAAACGTTGGAGGGATATCACATCTGTTATAAACAATTAGAATACTCTTGAAAACTATACAAGATACAATGCTGAAAATTTAAGTAATGTATTTGGTGGGCACTAATACCGAGCATTTTGCCTAATTTTTCGGACGGTCAGTTAGCCACAATTGGTTGATATTTGTCTAGTTTTTTCGTTTTCTCGAGTTTATTTTCCAACATTTTGAACTCACAGTCGTTTTAATCATACGAGATAAAACAGACTTTCAGAAAAAAAGGTACAGAGAATTATATTTCTTCGTAAAGAAACTGGATTACGTGACCTACTTATTTGACACAGTCATGCAGTCATTAGTAATGCAGCCATTTAGCTCACGCTACATATCAACTAGTCTAAGACAGTGTGAAACATAGTTGTGTTTTCAGTTTGCGTGAAAACTTTATAAACAGTTCAGCGCATTTCAGAATGAAAGATTTTTTCGCATAAAAATAACAACTTTTGGAATGGTTCGTGATACATATCGGCAAGGTAAACTCGTGTATTTTGCTACAAAATGCCCTTTGTATATTGCTCAGTAAACTAGTAGTGAGAGCCGGAAGACAGGTGTTTTGGGATAGACAATTAGAAATTCTCAAAAACTACTTGCCCAATCGACTCCCATTTTGTTGCAGTTATTTAGAAGTATAAAGCCTCCGGATTTGAAGAATTTCAAGTATCTGCGTGAAATTATCGTGGCCTTAGCAAAATGCCAAAACCTGCATTTTGCCTCCATTTTCGGCCATAACTTTTTTACAATTAATCGGGTCTTTTTAGGTGTGGTCTCAATTTGTAGGTCTCGTAGATACAACAGATAAGACGGATAATCTTATTTGAAGAGTTTTTCGTTCCTGCTAACACAAAAAACAATCTAATTATTTGTTGTTGAATAAAAAGCTTTGCCACAAAAATAGGTGTACCGGTTTTATGCGTCCATGTTTTAAATACCCCCTTCAATAACTTCCATCAATAAAACCAGACTTTACAATTATTTCGGGGAAATTTGCTATTACGATTAGACTATGTATTATTGTTACTAATTCTTTTGAGGAAAAAGCCTTTTTTAACGACCTGCCCTCCAACTTTGGCTCAATCAAACGGACTAATATTGGCCTCATTTTCTTGCTAGAGACTTAGTTTGAAAGATATATCAGATTTTTTTATACTAATGATGTAAAAAATCGCCGTGAAGGATTCATCTTTTTTTGCCATACAAACAATTGTCTACTATTATTTGAAGGCACAAATAGCGAAACACCTGGGAGATACCCTTTCATCTGCAATTTTTCTAACTTCACATCTCATTCCTTTCTCCTTGAGAAATTCTACTCTATCCAACAGAACCAAATTTTCGCAGAGCCCTTGTAAAGCCGCTTGCAGACCTGTAAGTGCTTCAAATATAGCTATGTTTCCTTTCTGTTGCTCCCATTCAAGTCTCATTTTTTCCAAAAAGCGTTCATAATCAAAATCTGGAGGACCACTGATTTGATGGCTGTTTTTCAAGTTTGTCAAATAAATTTCAAAACGGTCATCCAATGATCCGGAATTTTGTATTTTTGGTGACTTGCGATGTTGGCGATGTACCTGACATTCTTCTGAAAAACAAAAGTTCCCGATTAGCACCAGCTTTGTTAGGTAAATAACAATCTTAGAATTATATATGCAGATTTGAATTATTGGCGGAGGTAAACTACTGTGGAAAATCAGTAGCAGCATTAAGTAACGTATTCTACCGGACTCTACTCGTAGCTACGCATATATTGTATTCCGACGCCCGATCTTAAAGATCCTATCGCTATCTATGAAACAGTAGCAGGAAACGACAATTAATTTAGGAATATACTTCAAAAAGAGTTCTGCTACCGTCTCATAGATCACGTTACGATATTCCATCTCGTTTGGCATTGAAGATAATCAATGAAAATAAGCATTAGAGAAGTGATTGAAATTTCTAGCTCCGTCTATGAGACAGTTGCAGAATCAAACACTATCTTTTTTTAAAGTAGATCTCTAAATTGATCTGTGTGTTCTACTAGTGCCTCTTAGATGCCTCAGATCCCTTTCTGGGTACTAAAATACAATATATGGTGCAGTAAATCTTTTAAGAATTGAAATAGGAATCTCAAAATGGTTTAAAAACTAGATTCAATCTACTTGCCTCCATTACGTGATTCTAAACTCACGAAAAGCAGATTAATTCATTTCTATCATCAGACGTTCTACGAGTACTAATCATGTTCTCTCGCTAATAATGTTAAACTAGTTTGGCGTTTGAAAATAGACGTACAGATGAATGCGTAAGAAGTATCGAGTGGATCTACTTGACACTTTTTTGCGATCATAAACTTGATTTAGCGGGAGAGAAAAAAATAATATAAAAATAATCATTTTTGAATTGCTATTGTACTCATTCGGTAACCAAAATATTATCAATGAATTGACTAACTGACCTGTGCATTTATTTATTTATATAGCAACGTTACAACTGATATCGGGACTTTCCGATATCGCTGGACAGTTTATTCTTGATATTCATGTGTGTGGTACGCATCTGATATATGAACGGTGAGTGATCCAAGAATCATACAATTTAATATGTGTTTTACATTCAGGAAATTGCCCTGTAGTTTTTTCAATTTACAAACCAAGAATGTAGAGCAATATAAGAGAGTTTTAGCAATCACAAATACCGTATATGTAAACGTTAACATTCATCTCACTTGACACTTACCTCATACGTCTTTGACTATGTTACAAAAGAAGAACATTAACGTTTATATAATGTGCGGTATTTGCCAAGATTGTATTTTTTTTTTGAGCACTGCCTTTGCAAGAAGCTCAATTGGAGATAATGGCAACGATGGAAAAACATTTTCTTGGCAATCAAATAAATATAAAAAAGATCTGTATAAACTATTACGATTCCTATTCCAACAAAACGAGACTAAAACATTTATTATTTCAAAATTGACAAAGTTTCGTTTTTCATGGATTATCTAGTTGAACTATTTTCAAAAAGAATCAGCCTGAGTTACAATTTTTTATGTCTTGTATCCGTACTTTTTAAAAAGCTCGTCGTATAGGGTATTCTAGGATAATCTACAATAGGTACAGTCAATTTTATTTTCGGCCATTGCACTCCGCTTAGTACATCATTCTCAATTCAGGATTTTCTAGATATTTAAAGAGAACCTCCTATTTTGCTGATAAATGAAATGGAATCAAGTAGACTGACTCAGTAGAAAGAATGAAATACAGTTGTGTCAAATGCTCCCTTACCACAAAATACAATCAGGATGATGAATTCGAGAAACAAACAAAAATCACACAATTATCACGGTGGATTACATGCATGTCGGCAAGGCGAGATCGACACAAAAAATCAGGTCCTAGAAGAATCTTACGATACCTAAGTGATGGAAAATCACCACGCAAATCCTTTTGTTGTCATATCTGTTGAGAATTCCAATCGATTAAATAACAATGAAGAGCGTCTCTTTTAGAACTATACGTGCGTATAACAACAATGGACTAATTATTAAACAATTACCCGTACGCACGGTGTCAGTTGAGAGGAATGGGATGTATAATAAACAAATTGTAGTTTCCCATTGGCGTACTGCTTTATCTCTAATAACAACAGAGACGATTTTTTATAGTTAAGAAACCATTAAAAAAACCTTCTGAACAACCAGGATCTAACAAATTTACAAAACTCAGATAACCTTAACCTTAATCTGTGAATCGCTCTAAAAGTATATTTCCTTTTACAAAATTCGGCCAGTATAAAAGTACCCGGCACATCGTGTAAAGTTGCGCAAGTGGTGGCAGCAACGTGTGCCGGAAACTTTGTTGTAATGGGAACGTACCTTAACAGATAATGAGAAATAGATGAAGACTGATGAACACTGGTATCTCTGATTGCGACTCTTAAAAGTGGCAATTATCGAGATTTTTTTTCGAGTCAAGAAGAAGGTACCGAGAACTCGAGTAATAATTATAGAATACATGGTGTTCTAAAAGTTGGGATTTCCTTTACAAAGCGTCCATGTAACAATAAGCAAGTTTTCCTAGTAACACATACGAGTATACCAACGCCACTAAGGTAGAAATAAATCTGAATACACGAGCGCGGTCCAGAATCCAGCGTGAGGAGGTACGACGTCCAAATTAAGTGCAGTAGTAGTGCATTACTTGAAATTTGAATAGTGAGAATTTTCCTTCAATTTAATAATGATTATAACCCATGCAAAAGTAAATTCATTATTATTATTAGCAGAAGTGAAAGATAAGTATTTTTAATTTTGGCACTGTAAAAGCAGATTGTTGATAAGTTTTTTAAGTTATCAAGTGTCAAAGGTATAACTTTAGGGGGTAATGAATTATATAGTTAGATGGCATGAAAAGTGAAGCCTTTATGGAAAAATATTGGATAGGTGTAGTGTATTTGAGAAATGGATATTTCTAGAATGAACACACATACGATTTATTAGTTTTTCCTTTAAAAACAGAGGCAATGAGGCAATTTCGAGTTTATGAACATAACATAGAAAGTGATATTTATATTATGTTGTAACATTCAACCAATCTAGTTTTTGAAAAGAGATCGTAGTTTTTCGCGTTTTCTACTAATCTACAGCAAACATTTTGAATTTCTTTTTTGCGTTTTCGCTGCGGTTTTAGCACACACTAGCTTTGTTATTTCGTAATTGTTTTTCTTACACGAAAGGTCTTATCTTTCGGGACACCCTGTATAAGCTCTCTGAATGATATCTTCATTCATATCGATTAATCGACAGATATTTCTGAAATTATAATACTTGGTGACGCCAATTTTGATCAGAATTTTCTAAAAATAGTTTACGACTATTTTTACGAGTAACATGCGAACTGGAGCAAAAACGATCTTCCGTATAACAATCTTCAGTCTGAAAATGCATTTGTGGCAGCACTCATAGCATACTTCAGGATTTATTTATAAGTGAAATTGAAATTGTAAAAAGGTAAGATTTTAAAACGAATACTGAGAACTGGGGTACGTTTGTAAATCATTTGGTAATGCAATGTCGTACACAGTAATGGAACGTAGGTTGACAGATGTGAAACTTTATTTTTAGAATGCCTAAATCATTACAGTCATGAAATGACACTTGATGACAGCCGACTAATGTCTATGACTATGGTGTTTATTATAAGAAACGATACTGCCCATTTATCCTGAAAAATATATGTATATTCTTCCAAATTTTTGCACTTTATATACACTATAACCAAATAGAGTAAACAAGCAATAAACCTTGAGATTGACAAGTAGCAACACTCTTATTCCCAAGGTTTTGAGCACGGGAAGAAAAGTGCATTTTCGACGTTCCAGAAGGATTACTTGGTCCATTTCCGAACGCAACGTTACTGAATAGTACAACGTACACTCTATAACAATTCAAGAATGCAGCACTGATAAGTTAGTCTTTCCGTCGGTATTCAAAAACTACTCAAATTATTTTTTGTAGGCGAAATAAAAAAATAGAACCGAGCAGATTTATATTTCTCACGCATTATCCTTGCATATCATGCGCTGTATGAGCTCTATAGTAAATGTGAAAAAAACTAAACATTTTGACATTTTTCGACTGATGCTCAAAATTCGGATACAAGGTGCCCCATACCATCGGTTTTTCTCAAATAAAGGAGGAGTGCCCTTAAGGCCGGTGTTCGGTCCAATACAATTTTGATAAAAAAAAGAAACTCCAAGTTTTCTTTTCATGCATATAAAATAACTTAACAATTTGAGAGAAATCACGTCTATTAGATCTTTTGGAAGTTTTTAAGATCGCTTATTCCGAATCTGAGGCCAGTTTGTTCGTCTTAGGTTATTTGGAGGTCGTTTTCACGTGACGTCACGATGACCTAATTTACCACGAAACGCCTTTCCAATGACCTGATAAGGATAAACTGACCTCAGATTCGGATTTAGCGACCCTAAAAAACCTACATAGGTCTACTAGACTTGACTTCCCGGTATTTTTTCCATTTGATCTTGAAATGACCTAAAAACGCCCTCCAAATGAACTGATAAGGATAAACTGTCCTCAAATTCGGACTCAGCGAGCCTGTAAACCGATGGTTAAATGCCAGATAATAATCTGGCAAAAATGTAAGCTTACAATAGGAATACTGAATAGCTTTTTCGAAATTTCACCTAAAACTGACTTTGAGCTGATCTTCGTCCTAACCAGGAATGGTTTTTTAAGTTTTTGAGCAAAAGGGTATGAGCGAAAACTGGCCTAATGGCCCTTGTCCTTTTGAGCGACACTATAGTGTTCAACGAAATTTTGGCAGCTTACTAACTAGTCGGGGCCTTACATGTAGACCTTTTTTGAGAAAAACACTGTTGTTCCAGTACAGTTCTACTAATTTTGGCACTGGTCCACTATACTACTCACACTAATTTGAAAATATAGTAATTCTGATAACAGATTCGTACCGATAAATCCCAAAATATGAATTTTCAGGTCACTAGAACCAGATTTATGTGATTTAGATTTTTTTGGGTAGTGGCTGGAGTGTAAATCGATAAGAAAGAATAGTTTCCTAAAAAACGGATAATTTGATCGGAATCAAGCAAGAATACACTGTAGCAGCATTGCGTTCCTGGCGATTTGAACGAGTGATTTTCCCTTAAAACCGTCATGTGAGGCCTCAACTATTTACTAAGGTGTCAAAATTTAATGAACTCTTCAGTGTCATTTGAGAGAAACTGATTTCTAGTAGTCTCTATTTGCGTAGAGGAGCTGCATGGCATTCTTTTTTGTGTTCTAAGGTGGGTAAACCATGGAAGCGATGGTCCATGGAAGTCTAATTCTGAAAAAAGCTGACAAATTCTTCTACTCAACACCCATCGCACTCAGGAACACAGACACTGCGGCGAGTCACTCGCGTCGTTGTTTTGTCAATTTTTTGACCTCGGTCGTCGACACTAAAATTATAATACGAGCTCACAGCAAAACGTTAGTTTTCAAATAAGCAAACCATTATTTCCTTTACTTTTTTTACTCTGAATTGATATACGTATAAGTATTTCCTAAGGTACTAAAGAAAAAATATTGCTTTTTTTCATCTTAATTAAATTATTGGTAGTGTTCCTAGGAACACCAATGGTTCCTTGTAAAACCGATAAAAAAATTGACAGTTGACCTTTCTGGGGTTTAAGGACCTCATTAGAAAAATCTAAGAATCACGAAAATATGAACACTTAGTTTTTAGTTGGAGGGGAAAATCGAGTATATTGTACTTGTTTATAAATTGAACCACCTCAATATTTATTAAAGCATTTGAAACATGTTGGCCTTACAAGGAAAGGACCAATAAAAAGGCCATTTTAGTCTATTTAACATTCTTTTCCATTATAAGAGTGATCAACAATTTATTTAACATCGATATTATATGTTATATATTATAAATATTTTCATGAGTCCTCCTTTATTTTACGGTAGTGTCCAAGTAATGTTCGATATATGTCTTATCTACTGAGGTCAAAAAATGACCCCAGGAAGCCTGACCAATCGTCAGACAGACAAAAATCATAGACAAGTAACATTTTTGCGACTGCTAAACAAAGTCGTCAAGCTTCTCCTCCTCCTCTATTTTTAGATCATTGATAATAGGGATCAGTCTACCAGGAGAGGATCAACACTAGAGAAATAGATTTGCATCGCCAAATTTTAAACATTCAGAAAACAGTTTTTAAATTTATTATATTTCAGATCTTGGGGAGCCAGCTATGAAGCTTGAACTGCACCACTGACGAAAGGATTACCACTGAAAACTAAATGCCGAGTAGTCTGCTATGAACAAACGAAAGAGACATACGCTGTTGATTATGATTATTGTGTTATCAATTTGTCTGATATGCAAATACTATGTGAGGCCCAAAACAAAATACATACTGTATTGGACGAAGATGTTTGACAGAGATGATTTCAACTTTGGCTTTGGGAGGTAAAACAGTATTATAATTGTTATCAGTTTATGTTAGCATAACTTATTAAAAAAAAATGAAATAAATACATGGGTTTAGGTAGTCTTAAAAGGTACACAGATCTATTTGATCCGTGTGATTGGTGATAAGTTTAGATAGTCCTGGTGATATCTTCGCATCTGATGGGAAAATTATTCGGATTTGGATTTTTGCATAATCCTCTTCAATAAGAACCCCTTTTAATGAATCTGCATGTTGCCAGGCCCAAAAATTAGGCGACAAAAACTATTTGTTTTAAACAAAGTCCGAAATCTTTTCTTTTGCTAATGCAATCGTTTGGTTTTCAATTGTTAATAAAACGCGCGCCCAATGTATATTTAACGTGAGCGCAAGAGAGATGCATCATAGGTACGGCCTCTATAGGGATGTGGCACTGACTAAAAAATTCGAGTAATGGAAAATCTATTTTTTCTTTTTTAATATTAATCGATTTATGAGAAAAAAGTGGATGATTTTTCTATTAAGCGACAAACTGCATTCTTTTCAATATCATTTTTTTCCTGGGCTACCATTAATAGTTGGCTGACACAACCGAGAATTTATTTCATTGAAAGCTAGCACGGTATGCTAAAAAAAAAACAAATTACATTTGGTTTCAATGCGAAAACCTTTACTAGTTTTACTCAAAACTGCGAAAAAAAATGTAGCAGACTGAATCAGCAAATGACATAAAAAATTAGCTATTGAATGCTCTTTCCAAAATAGTAAAATAAGATTTGTAGTCTAGTTTTGTCATTGAAGTAGTAATACTTGCGAGATACTACAAATAAAAAATAATAAATGCAGCTGTCTGTTGTGTACAAATACAACTTTGTAGTTGCTGTATACGCTTTTTATTTTAGCAAATGTCTAAAACAGCTGTCCATTATCCCTTTTTGCTCATTGTTGTATGCAGGCATCAAAATCATTAACAGAACATAAGGTTGTATTTTTTTCCATTGATTTTTAAAACACTCAGGTGGTACCAGCGCACCGCAATTACAGCAACTACGAAGTTGTAATTTGGATACAAAAGACAGATGCATTTATTATTTTTTATTTGTAGTATTTCGCAAGTATTACGACTTCAATGACAAAACTTGGAATTATTCAGTTTTTAATGAAAAAAGGTCCTACAAATGTTATACCATTTTGGAAACAGCATTCAATAGCTAATTTTTAAGGTCATTTGCTGATACAGTCTGGTACATTTTTGTTCACAGTAATTAGTAAAACTTTAGTAGAGGTTTTCGCATTGAAACCAAATTTACTAATTTACTTTTTTTAGCATACCGTGCATAGCAGGCAAGAAATAGCAAAAAGTATGAATTTTTTAAAAAAATTCAAAGTAGCAATATCTCGAAAATAAGAAACCTGTTACTAAGGTCAAGTCGATTTCATTTAATTGATCTGAATCCAATCTACCTCCCGTGTCACTCTGGTGTGTTATTTCTGGGACCTTAAGAAAGAGATGTAACTTCATGAGATTTTGGTCCGTGGTGTTGCTGTTGACAAATCGAGAAGTACCTTACGCTCTCAATTAAAGTTGGAAACAGCTGGAACTTTTAAATTTCCACCATATAACCTTAATTTTAACGATGAGAAGGTGCAGGTTCGGTCATTGCTGGATGAGGCAAATCATACTATCAGTACACTTCCAAAACAAATTTCTTACCACTCAATTTAGGTTGGTCCACCTCCTCAACCGTGTTAATCGAATCCCTGATTCAATCCTTAGCGTAGAGGATGAAACTCAAAGATCTGTAACTGGAAGAAGACCATTGTCCAGATAAGTTTAGGTTTAGGCAATAAATTATTTGTAAGACCTATATTTGTAAAGCCTTCGTACGTGTACGATGGAAAACGTTTTGCAGGGTTATTACAGTCTATTGCTTTTATTGTCAGGTAGTTTTCAATAACATCTTTTCTTTTAACTTGCATTCCAGTGGTGGAGCATATGTGCTGCTCGTTTTGATAATATATTGGGATTCGTCTTTAGATATCTTGTTTTATTTGGCTCTCTGTATACAGTTAATTAGGTTTCATCATTACTGTTAGATTCTTTTCTTTGTGTCGTGGTCAAGCAAAACAAGTTCCGACTAACATCTTGGGGTTTTGTGGCTTAATCCGCCTTGAGTCACTGGCGCTCTTAATACCCCCACCCCCCCTACTCTCCGCTTTATTGAGTTAGGGCCTAAATTTGCACGCCACTTGACAGCTGTTTTGCATTGGCTGACTCTTAGATTTAATTTATAGTAATTTATTAATTCATTAATTAATTTAAAAAAAAGGAGAGGAATCACGCCACCATTTCTTCTTATTTATAAAAAAAGGCGTGGCATTATTACTGATACGTGTACCCTAATGTTAGGTGAACAAAAGGGCGCTATAATGGAATTGCAAAAATGTTTGCTAATTGCTCTAAAAAGCCCATGCGCAAATCATGCCTTGAATCTTTCGCTTTCAAAAAGCAGCAGTGTCCAAGCACTAAGAAATACTGTAGGTATAATGAAGGAACTAATTGCGTTCTTCAAAGCATCCGCTAAAACAAATACAGTATTAAAAAGAAACCTAGACGGATATCAAATTCATAGTGTGTGCGAAACACAATTGTCCGAGAAACATGATTATGTGCTCCAATTGGAAGGCAAATTCGAGAAAATTGTAGAGGTACTAAATATTATATTAAATTGGAAAGACCGCGAAGCTTCTTCAAAAGCGGAGTCTTTGAAGACTGCCATTACTTCCACAGAATTTATCGTATCACTAAAATGTTTGTGTGATATATTAGCTTTAACAGTCAACCTGAGTAAGATTTTACAATCAAAAACAATTGACAATACGCTGTCAAACTCATAGGAAATATTATTTCAGTTGTACAAGACAGTCGCGTAAATTCCGAAAAACACTTTAGAACACTACTCGCATCGATAATGAAATCACATGAAACCCTGGGTACTGAACTGACTATGCCAATAACAAGCAGGAAAATGAACAGACCGAACATAGTTACGTCTGATAAGGAAAATCATTACAGACTGAACCTATATGTCCCTTTGCTAGATAATATATTACAGGATTTGGTATATATCAGTTCAATGAAGAATCTTTGAATATATACAATTTTAATATTTTCTTTGCATCAGTATTTCATTCAAAAACTGAAGCTGAAGTAATGGACATATTCGAAACAATCTCTAAATATTTGCATGGAATAAATAGTAACGAAAACAAAAATTTAATAAGTACTAGATTAAAAGCAGAATTTGACCTTTGGAAGTCACGTACACAAGATATTACAGACAGTGGAATGTCACTGTATTTATCATGTGATGAAAACATTTTTCCTTCAATTAATATATGTCTACAATTATTGATTTCATTGCCGGTAAGTGTTGCGACATCTGAAAGAAGTTTCTCCCATCTAAAGAGGATAAAAACTTGGCTGCGCTCCACTATGTTACAAGAGCGATTAATTGGTTTTGCTCTTTTGGATATGCATAGGGATATTAAAATAGAATACAGAAACGTGAATACAATCATAGATCGGTTCTCGAGCAATAAGAATAGGCGCCTTGATTTTGTAATATGATAACACTTGAACTTTGCCTAAGGTTGTCTCTCAAATCCATCTCCCTTCTGTTGGCCAATAAATAAAAAAGCAGATGTAGTTAAGGGTATATTTACGTTTAAACCACCACGGTGATCTTTTCCAAAGTAACCAATTAAGATATGTGGTTTTATTTATTGGCCAGCAGATTGATATAAAAGTCTGTTCAAATTCTGTTCAAATCACTTTCTAAGCTAATGTAATGAATCTTTTATTTTGAGACTGTGAACTGATGTAGTTTCATAGTTTATATGTTTTTGTTTTGTGAAACTTGCTAAGAGATTGTAGTTAACAAATGAATATTTTTTTTGTGTTTATCTCATGATTAAGAATTTTATTTTGATTTAAATTCAGTTTTATACTTTATAGAAGTCGTAACATATTTGTTATTGCTATTTTTTTCATGAAGATGTATTTTTTGTTGTTTTGTCTGACATTGTTATGTAGAAAAGTCTGTGATAGATTATATTATTCTGCATTTTTGTTTTAATATATGAAGATTGCTGGAGCTTGGTATGCTTTATTTACACTTTGATTTCGTATGATTCAAAATTTAAAAAAAATTGTATGTATTTGCTACAGAAATTACTGTAACAAATTCATATGTCTGCATATGTCCATGCTTTTAATGTTAATTCATTATAATACTTCAGTACGTCACATTGAGAATTTACTTTCCATTTTACCCCTCCCAGACTGAAATCCTGGAAGCGTCACTGTCAAGTATTACAAACGACTAAATTATGACTTAAAAAAGCATTACGCGCAATAATTGCTGTAATATATCAAAAAAGTAACCCTAGTAGTTTTCCATATCCATATGACACTGTCAAATCGTCGTGGTAGACTTTATATAAACGAAATGCAAATAAAAAAAATATATCAAGGATAGATATGTTGAAATGATTTGTGGAACCACAAATAATTTTTTTGAGCTGGGTACGCCCTTGGAAAGAAGGTAAAATTTGAATTAGCAAATCTGATGCACACAAGTTCGGCAACGTTAATTTTTTGATTCTTTTAATATTGTCCTTCGAGGTCGAAAATTGGATATTTTGCTTCATCAAATATTGTATTAGTCACATTTGAAAACTATCAATTTTAGAGAAAAGTAACTTTTTTGCTCAGAATGTCATGGAAACACACTTTGACCGGAGTGAAAAAAAAACAATTTGTCAAAAAAATGGGTAAAAAATTTTTGACGCAAATTTGGGCTTTTCAATATGCACATTCGTTAAAAGGCAAGACGCCGAGAAACATCTGTTGAGCTTCCTCTGGATTCTAACCGAGATAAGCCTGTATAACTGTGTCTGTAGCGTGTTTCGTTTTTCAAATCACGACCTTGCAAACTGTTGCAGGAGTTCCATGTGTAGAGATTGAATGCCATACCCATTGATGCTCGCGTAGGGGAACTTTTTGTAACATACGTTTGAGACAACCTCGTATTATCCTTTCAGCAAAATATTCGAAAACTGTCTAATGAATAACTGCTTCGCTACCAACAACAGAAGTTTGAAACGGACTGAAGAATTCGACGCGATTTTGTTCCACGGCGTAGAGTATATTCTGAACGGACAATATGGAACACCAGAGAAACGTCACCCAAATCAAGTGTATATTTTCATGAGCCAAGAATCAGAAAGCAATACGCTTCCCATCTTAGGCGATTTCGATGGATTCTACAATTGGACAATGACATACAGGTACGTTCAGACATAATGGTTTCATTCAGTTGCACATAGCTGCTAAACTATTTTTCACGCTACAAGCAAATTGGCTGCTAATGGTCATGACTATAATCAAATTCAAGCGAATCACCAAATGAAAATGGTATTTACCATTTTGGATTGGTATTTACCAATCCGTTCAAGCGAGTGTGGTTATTAGTTTGGTTATAAGATCGGTGAAGTCATGAATCAGCTTTTATATGTTATAGTTAACACCGCAAAATTGTGGAATTTACCCAACTCAGGAGAAGTTTTATATTTCTGGTTATTATTTGAAATGTGACAAGTTTGCCGGGTATTGGATATTTTTGTTGTACTTCAGCTTCATTTTTGGGAAACTTGATATAGGCTGACTTCAGTTGTAGCAGTATTAGTTATACTCATTAGTGTTGTTGGGGACACTTTAAATCTAGTTCCTATGCAAAGTATCCTGTGTAGCCACAAGAATATTGAAATATGGCCATATAAACTCACTGTATACGGTTTTGCTAATATCTTTTTCATCGCTTTTTCCTATCATTTCTGCTAAATCAATAAATGTTTTCTTTGACATGCAGAAAAGTTTAGAGAATTGAAAGTTATCATAGCTACAAGGCCATGGTTCCACCATTAAAATTTTTCATCATTAATATTATGAAAGGTTTCTTTTTTAAACTTCCCATACACTGCTGTAGACGAAAACGCACCGATTATTAAGTGATAATAAAAATAATCAGAAATTATATAAGAGCTTTTCTAAAATAAACAGCTTGCAACAAAACCGCGGTTAAAACCAAACGATTCGAGTAACTGACGTCATCAACCCGTGTGTCATCTTAAATCATATTATAACCGTGGTACATAACACATAAATTTTTGTTTTTCTCTTGGATTTGATTTATATTTCAGGTAAGGTAGGAATAAAATAAGATAAACAGCTTTAGACTATGTTTGGTATAAACAGTTCTGAATACGGTGCTGCGTTTTACCCGATTCACAATTTATTTATTATTGACAACACTACAAACATTAATACAAAGATGTGACTTGATGATCAGCTGTTTACCTCAGTTGACATCAAAACGTAATGGATACTAGTGAAAAATCATCTGGCTATCCACTGAATCTGCTGACAAGTAGCACAAGGGGTGCTTTTGAAAATCATTTGGTAATGCTTTACTGTAAACAGCAATGACAGATGGACAAATGGATGGAATTTTATCCTGGATTACTGTAAAACTTTGTTTTCATTTCTAACCTCGTTTTCAACCACCCTTGCTTTCATTTTGCCTACACGAAGCTCTTCTGTAAAAGGCACTAGTTCGAAAAATCCATCTAGAGTACGTAAACATATTCATTCAAATTCAAAAACCAATATAACTTACAAATTAAAAACAACCTTCAGTACAATTTAAATAAAAAAAAAGCTTCAAAAATACATGAGCTTGTATGCTCTTGCGACCCTGAATAACCAAGATTGCAACAGAAATCTGAGCAAAAATACTAGCATCAGATCTAGAACCAGGAAGTAATGGTATACGAATTGTGAAAATTCTGTATACTTTCGTAAAGGGTAAATGTCTGGATCTTGTCGCCACAAATCCTAAATTACGTGTCTGCATAAACAAATCTAAAATTCATAACAATAGTACAGAAGCATACTAAAAACACTCAGAAGTATAAATATAGAGTACATAAAATATGAATATCTGAAATATGATAATAAAGGGATATTTCGAGTAAGGTCAAACTATGTTGTTTAAACAATAAAAATTTTGCGTAAAGGTTAAGCAGAGAAACAAGAGTACTACAATTTACTACAAAAGAATTTACTACAAAATAATAGACACCTAAGCTATAAGCTTGTGTGTGTCATACAATATACAAATTCAATGCATGGCTAATGGTCATAAGGTATATTATGAGCAAATGTATATAAAAAAAAGAAATAAAAAAAACATTAGATAGAAACGAAATTACTGAGTTGAGTCAAGCTACCGTCGATGCAAGCATGTCAAAGTTATTTAAGATGAACTTCTTAATTCTTTTTTTGAAACTATACTTCGAGAGGATTTTATATTCTAGGGGTAATTTATTATACAACCTAATACCATCAAACTTTATGCATTTTTGGCAACAGATTTATTCCCTCTGGTATAGGTGTAACTTATATTTATTTTAGTTCTTGTTTCATAAGCGTGGCTGGTTGGAATATTGTTTCGGGAGTGAACAAATTTTAGAGCAGCAAAAATATATAAACCTCTAACATTCAAAAGATCATTTTCAATGTAAACAAATCTGCAACTTGACCTACATGGGATACGAAAAATAGTCCTGACAATATAATTTTGCGTGGTTTGTAGTATTTTTAAAGTACTAGTGTATGCGGCTTCCCAAATACTTATCCCGTAAGTTAGTAGAGACCCCACAAACGAGTTATATCTTGAGATAAGACTCTTTCTGCTTAAAATATTCCTAAGAATGAAAAACTTATGAATAATTCTCCTTAATTTCGATGCCAAAAGCTTGGCATGACTCTGCCATTTTAAATTACTGTCAACAATGATTCCTAAGTATCTAATAACTTCAAGTCTTTTGACAGTGTAAGCACTATCATTTATAATTAATGTTCGGTGGTGTAATGGCATGCCTGCTTTGGTTGGAGAAAACGTTACATACTTAGTTTTAGAGATATTAAGTTTAAGTAAATTGTTATCCAACCAGAATTTGACTTTATTTAATGACAACTCGGCATTCCGTATTGCGTCTTCCCATGACTGACCAGTTCAAACTAAAACAGTATCGTCTGCATATGATATCATCTTACAGTTGAAATTACATCGAAGTAGTTCATTTATGTACATGAGGAACAGTGTTGGTCCCTAAACCGTCCCCTGAGGCACACCTATTTTGATCTTTTGAATGTTGCTTAAATCTGACCCTACCTTAACTTGTTGTAATCGATCAGCCAAATAGTTCTCAAATAAGTTCAGAACTCCACTACGCACTTCAACACTTTCTAGTTTCTTTAATAAAATTGTATGAGATACTGAATCGAAAGCCTTTTGAAGATCTAGGAAAACTGCAACAGTCTTATTTCCATCTTGAAAATTTTCAAGCACTTGTCCTGTAAGTTCTTGTAGATATTGCTCTGTATTGCAATTTTTGCGGAACCCAAATTGACAGTTCGATATTATGTCATATTTCTCAAGAAAAGAACAAAGTCTGTTATTCAAACACTTCTCAAAAATCTTCCCAAATACATTGATAACTGAAATAGGTCTATAATTGAACATATTGTCTTTACTTCCAGATTTAAATATTGGTGTCACTATGCTGTCTTTAAATTGGCGAGGAATTACTGAGGATTTGAAACAGAGGTTGATAATGTGAGTTATAGGGTGACTGATATACTTCATGATCATCTTGATAGTTTTAGTGTGTAAGCCATCTTTTCCGGGTGCGCTATTATTTTTCAGATTACAAACTATTTGTTGTAACTCTATGTTATCCACTGGAGTTAGAAACATAGAGTGAGCAATGTTGACGACATGAGGATCTGATGTATCAAGAATTGAGTTTTGATCAACCTGACTTGTTATTTGCTCACCTATATCGACAAAATATTTATTAAAAACACAGGCTATATCAGTGGGAGCATCCAGCTGCTGATTATTGTGATTAATTGATTTAACGTCATTTTTTTTTTATTTTGCCAGCATTATTTACCTCATTAATAACATCCCAGCTCTTCCTATAGTTATTACCAGCTAAAATGAGTTTTTGTGTATAATATTGATTTTTAGAGATCTTAATAAGATTAGTTACTCTGTTTCTGTAGGAGATATAGGACTGTCTCAATATCAAATTATCATTATCTTTCGTCAAACTCTGTTTCAATTCATCCCTCTTCTTGATCGAATTAAGAATACCGTCAGTCATCCACGGATTGCGTTTTCTGGTCTTACTATTTATTTTTAAATAATACGTTGAATGATCTATGCCTTTATATAATTCATTTTATAGAAGTTATCAGTTGCTTTTTGAAAAAACACTGTCCCAAGTCACCACTTGTAAATAATCTGTCAACTTTATCTCATCAATTTTCTTAAATTCATAGCTGTTTTTGTTAATGATACAACTACTTCCTTTCAAATACCCAAAATTGAACGAAACAGGATAATGATCGGTGATACAATTTTCCAAAAGTATTGGTTTACACTCAATTGCTGTTTCAGAGACCTTAAATCTGTTTGCCTTCAAAAATATGTGGTCGATAATCGCAGATGAGTTAGAATCTACCGTAGTAGGTGTATTAATCTGAGATATAGTATGTACCCGTTCTGTTGTAACATATTCACGTATCTTAAATTGCTGTATTCATGTTCTCTCAATAAGTCTATACGTATATTTACTCGTATATCACCCACCAACAACGAAATGTCACAGTTTGCATTACTTCTCAAATACGAATCCAAATTGTTTACAAAATCCTGTACTTTCGTGGGATTAGGCCTGTAGATACCAGTAATACTGAAACTGTTATTGTTGAAAATAAAGCTACAATTCAATGCCGTCACTACATCTATCATTTTTATGGAAACATTTGCCGAAATGTCATCTCTTACATACATACAAACCCCATCGCATTTATTATACTTGGCTTCATTATAGTAAATTTGGAAGCCATTTATTTTATAACTGTCGATATTACTGATATTACAGGTCTCACTCAAAACAAGTATACCTATATTTTTATTCTTATTTAACACCGCTATGTTTATACAAAGCTCATCATAGTGAGCTTGCAAGCTCCTGATATTGTAATGAAGTATAGTGAAGTTTAACTTATCACTTCTCTCAAACAGAACACTATTTAATTCATCAAAATTAGAACAACTGATGGTCGTGATATTGTTATAATCCTGTAAAATATTCAAAGCTGTATCAATATCAGTCATATACAAATCAAGCTAAACTCAATATGAATGCAAAAA